TTTCAAGGATAAAAAATATAACATCCCAGATTGATCAAATCTGTCAGGAGCTGATGCACCATTTTTTTGCCATCTTCACAGTCAGTTCTCTCAGAGTGACTCCCAAAGTACTGACATTTAAAACCTTATTTTTTGCTACACATAACATAGCTAGTGGGATCTGAAGGAAACAGCGACTATGTACTTATAGATGTAAATTACAACTAAATGCTGGTCGGTTGCTTTATGTGAAAAATTGTTGCTTTTAAATCGACTTTTGTACAGAATGTATTAGTTGCATACTTTCAAGATGTATGTATTTCTGTCAACAAGTATTGAGGTTTAAACATTTTTTTTAAAATATTTAAATTTTTTGTGGGAAATTACTTTCAAAAATTTTTTTCCCAAAAAATTTATTATATATGTTGCTTATTTTTAAATAAACAATACTTGTTATTTTGCCCCAAATTTAAAAAATAAGATGTTTTTAATATCAAAATTTCAAAACTACACTCTCAAAAAAATGCATTAAAAAGAAAATTAGGGTTTTTAAATTAATATATAAGTTTTTTTTGTTTTTTTAAATCACTTTTTTTTGTTTTGTAATTATAATAAAAATTTTTCCCTTTAAAAAGGCACTTTATCCCTTAAAAAACAAATAAATTAAATAAGGTTTTAAAAAGAAAAAAAAATGTTTTTTCCTAAAATAAAACAGCGATAAATCAAAAAAATTTTTGTAAAATGTACCCAAAATGTAAAAAAGTAGTTTTTTAAAATTCCCATAAAAAAATAAATTCATTTTACTTATTGGCCAAAATGTAACAGATAAAAAAGTTCTGGTGATTGGCCAGTGAGTAACGATATGGATAACATAAACCTATACCAAAAATTTATAAAAAAAGGTTTAGAAAAAGGAAGATAAAAGCTTGTCTGAGGCATAATGGGCCCTTTAAGAAAAACATAACCAATTTGTACAGGGTTTGCAAACATGTATCAAAATTAATGAAATTACATTTTTTTGGTAGAAAGAACGTAATAAAACCTGTTTCTGCCCATAAGGGTATGTTGTATAAGCATCGTGATGTCTTCAGGTTTAAGTTAATTTTATCCCACACACTTTTTTAGTGCTACTTTCTGAAACACATCCTCGCGACAATTTAAATTAAAGAAACACTTACATCTATTTTATGTTACAAAGATGAAACAAAAAGTTTACAAAAATACTAGCATTTTGTTTTCCTACATTTTTTGTGTGAATTTTCATAATGATAAATAAAACATTTAAATGAAGTTTTCTTTTTTAGTTTATTAAAGAATTTATTATACTGAAATTTGAAAATACTTGTAATTGCAATACAGGCCTGTTTTTTTAAAACATAAAATAAACATCTTTTTGAGAACAAACCCATACAAGATTTGATACGTTTTTTCTCCATACACTATAGATAAACACAGTATAAATACATAACATTCATTATAACTGGCGTTTTTTTAGTGAGGACCATATTAACTTGACCAAAACAATAGGGAGTAAAGCTTTCCAAACTTTCTTATTAAAAAATATTCAGTAAGAATTTCGTAGATCTCACAAAAATATCTGCAATATGACTATACTAGGTTTCATCGTTAACAATAATTTATTTATAATTATTGTCAGAAAAAAATGGCAAAACATGACTTTAAAAACATTAAAAAAAGTAAAGCATGTTCAATTAGCACTTTAATTTTTAAAAGTGTGTTTGTTGGACCCATTTTTTTTTAAACTCAAACCCCTTTTGGTATACTTTCTTTTGAAATTTTTTTTTAAAGCCAAAACAAAATAAGCTAAAACTAAAAAAAAACGTACCAATTTTTCCTACTTTTTTTCAAAAATAATAAAAAGGCAACAAAATAAAAAAACTTTTTTTTTTTTTTTTACCTTTAAATTTTTGTTTAATTTGGGATTACAAAAAATTTGTATAACATGATTTTTTTTTCTTTTTAAAAATTAAAAAAAAATTTTAATTTTTAATTTAAAACCACAAATTTTAAATTTTAATATGTTATTTTTGCACAAAATTTTAAAAAAAAGGGAAAATTTAAAGGAGCTTTTTAAATTTTAAGGGGCTTTTTTTGGGGTTATTTTCCCCACCCATTTTTGAAGCTGACTTTTCGGGTTATAATTGCTCGGGTTATGTTTTTTAATGCTTAATTTAAAACCACAAAGGTTTAAAGAAAAAAAAACATAAAAATAAAAACAATTTCCTAATTAAAACTGAAATTAAAAAGTAAAGGCCAAGTTTTTGAGAACATTGTAATTTTAAATTTTTTTTTTCGGTGATATTACCCCAAACCCCATTTTGTGAAGAATCTACTCTTACGGCAATAAAATGGCCACAGAAAATGATTTTTTTATCGCCTTAACTTCGTCTAAACTAATGTATAAATTTGATAAAGTACACAACACTTTAAAATGCATTTTTGTTTAGGTAATTGGTGTAATACGGAAAAAAAAAGTCAATCCATATTGTCAATAAATTGCCATTTTTTTAAAAACCAACTTTTTTTGGTAAATTGATAGTAATCATTTTAAAAGTTTGCCATATAATTGTCATTTTTGCTTGATTGAACCATAAAATTAGCCATATTTTAAAATCTGAATATTGTGCAATTGAAAACTACTTTGTACAAAATTTCCGCTTGTAAAAAATCAAGAAAAAAAAAAATTATATGGTAATTTTGTAATTTCTGGCGGCCATATTGGCGGCCATCTTGGATTTTTTGTGACTTTTGCCCGGGGGCAAGTTGCGTAACTTAAAAATGGGTTTCTTGGAAAACTAACAAACAATAGCTTATAATGGCAATGAGTTTTTCTTTTGGTGGAATACGGTAAAATTGCAATAAAACCCCCGCCATCTCTTTGGAAAAATATGTAAGGTGTTATAGAGAGAAAATTTAGTACTTGGGTACAAACTTGATTTAAAAAAATAATTCTGAAATACTAATTTCTGGCATTGCATCAAAAGTTAATATATAATAACAACATGTGTTTTGTGAGTAAACAGTAAAAATAATCAAATTCCAAGGAAAATACTGTTACCCAAGGGCATTTGCAACCCCAGTGTTATTTATTTTACCCTTACCCAAACAAATACCGTAAATCGTTTGAAAAATTCAAATAAGTGTAACTGTAACAAAATTGAACCAAGAGTAACAATAACTCAGTTATTCTTACCTTGCATCAGTTGAGAAAAAACATAACACATGACCAGATTTTTATACTGTTAAAAAGTTACCCTTTAATAGTACAAATTTCTAAGTCATGTGGTACACTTGCTTTACAGTAAATATAACTCCCAGAAGCCTATGGGAAATTAACTTTACAAAACATAGTGAGGGGTAATAATATACATGTATTATGTGCACAATATCACTTAGCTTTTATTGATAGCTTTTATTGATTGTAATTAACAGTTCCATTGCTTTAAAGGATTATTTATCATTTTTATACACACAAAAAAATGAAAAGAATAATCATATTTTTTTATTTCCCTACCAGAATTCTAGGAGCCATAAAATTTTGCCCCCTTTTGTCTTTTCAAGGTTTCCCAAAAAGCCCTTTTTAATTTTTCCCTTTCATTTTTCGTTTTTGTACATTTTTTGGGGGGGGGGGGGGGGGGATTTTCCCATCCCCCAAATTTGGTTTGGCAGAAAGGGGCCCACGGGAAATAAAAGGTCACGGGGCCCAAAAAAAAAGTTTTTGGGCACTTGTTTAAAAAGGGCCTTTTTTTTTGGAAAAATTCTTAAAATTTTTGGACAATGGCAACCCTTTAGCAATAAGTTTTTTTTTTTATACAGGTGAATTTTCAAAATGAAGTAAAGGCCAAAAAAAACTGTCCACCCCCCCTTTTAAATGAGAAATTTTTATTTTTAATTTGGACAAATTTTGGAAAAAGAAAAAAACCGTTTACTGATTTTTGAATTTCCCGGGAAAATAGGGTAGAATTTCTAAAAAAAATTGAAAGGTAAAAAAAAAAATGTTTTATATTTTTTTCAAACCTTTTTAACTGTACAATTTTGAGTCAATTTATATGGACATATGTTTATTATTATTATAACTTTTCTTATAAAAATAGCTATAGATACAATATTGTTTACAGGTATACTCAAATTTGTTGACACGGTAATGTTTTTAGGGGCCGGAAATTCGGACATAAGCCCAGTAATATGCAGTTGTTTTTTGTTTATCTTCGTTAAAATTTTTAAGGCTAATTCACAATTTACCTGCAAACTTTCGGAATAAACTGTATTTTTATTCATGTTTATATATATAATTAATTATTATATATCTACCTATATATCTTACAATGACATTTTATCATTTTCAGCTACATGTGTGTATATTGTTTTATTTCTGATAACAAATAACTTTGATGAAATAAGATGTTAAGTGTTGCCAAGATATTTGATATAATGCCTCAGAAATGAATACATTTTTTTTCTCAATTTTTTAGAAAAGGTCAAAACATAAATTTAAACAAAAATACCCGGTGTAAACGAAAAAAACCAAAAAATAAGGGTTTGCACCCCGGGGTCTGATCAAAAATTCTGCTGTTTTTAACAACCCTTTTACAAGTAGAAAAAGAAAACCCGAACGCAGGGACCCTGATCAGACGGGCGCAGGATGCCATCTGGTCTGGACCAAAGCGGGTTAAAAACCACTATTTGGTTTTGCGTGACACACCCTCAAATAAGGTTTTTAAAAATTAATCTTATCCCCTTTAAAAAAGTAGGCTGAAGGGAAAAATTTTTAAAAAAATTAAAAATGAAAAAAAGAGTATTTTTTTCCATCCCAAAATAATTAAATTAAAAAACCCCGTTTTCATTTTTTAAAAAAATAACAGGGGCCCCAGATGAATCCCCAAAGGTTTTTTTTTGGAAACACATGTATAACGGGGCCCAAATAATAAAAAAGGTTTTTAAGAAATAAAAATAAACCCATTTCAGGGGCATAATGGGCCTATAATGGTATTTTTACAGTTATTTATTTTTGTGAAAATGCTCAAATTTGTTCTATAACAGGAGCTGTCAGACAGGGTGTGCAGTGATATACATGCATTATGTGGGGGTATTCCATTTTCTGTAAGAGTGGTTGGAGATTTGTTAAAAAATGGCTTCACGCCAGAAAAACTTCTCTCGGGACTTCAGCGCGAGCCACAGTCAGTCCCAATGGATATGTTCCTGCAAAAGTCTTTTCAGATGCTGGAATCAACGCCCTCAATGAATGAATTAAAAAACCTTCTTGTCAGATTTTCAGTTTTCCAAACTGCAAGGTTCAATATAAGTGCTGCAGTTGCAGTAGGCTTCAATACATCAAGAGACGAAGAATTTCGAAGACCTTTAAGTCTCTCGTCATTTAGTGGAATGACAATTAGAGATGAAACAGTGAAAAATGAAATGGAACTGAAGTTACAGCAGTTGAAGTGTCATTTTTTACTAGAAATTGATGATGCCCAATCTTCATTGGGAAGAAAAAGAACATCCGGTGAAAAGTTATTCTCCTTGCATCCATTGGTTGCTAACTACGTAATGTCACTTTGTAAAGAAGATGAAAACCTCAGGATGGAAAGAGAATCGGCAAGATCACAGTTTTTACAGTATTATGGTACTGTCGTAGAGACATTAGGTAAACGTTGCGATAGCGACCCTCTCATATCCAGAAACATGATAGAGGCAAGTATGATACATATTAAGCAATTTTTCACAATAATTCGTGACGAGAAAACTCTGTTAACCCAGTATTTACCACAGAAAGATCCAAACAAACATAAAAGATCTGCTAAAGTTGCTGTTCAGAGAAGGCACATTTGGAAAATTGCTGAATGGGCGATTTCATCATCTGAAAGGAAATTGTTTGCAAGAAGACAGGCTGAACTTGAGCATGACCGAAAAAATTTGTTCAGTTATATATACTGGAGGTCTCTGGAAGCAGAAAGTCTGTTAATACAGGATCGGATTCAACTGACTCTTGAACTGTTGGATAATGTAACCTCTGAGCTTGGAATCGTCACTGATGACACTGTGTGCTCAAAAGTGGATGGATGGATTAAAGTTCCAGATGAAGAAATGATTACATGGGCAACATTTTATACGGTAAAGGGAAGACTTTACTTTAAGAAAAGTAGAAACAATAACGAGAAAGTCTTGCAGGAACGAGCAATGAATATATTAACACTGGCAGAAAATCTTTTGGAAGGAAAGATAAATCATGCAAAGGCGAGGATCTCAAAAAATACTTTCAAATTGATCTTGCAGATGTCAAAAATTTGAAAGGTTGTGTATATTTCTTGATGAAGGAGTACAACAAATCACAAAATTGTCACGAAACTGCATACAATCTTGTATTGAAGTTAACTGGGAACCAGCTCCATAAGAACCTAACGGAGTACCGTAGCAATGTAGCTTCCTGTTTACATCAGTCAGCACTGGATGCTAACGACCCAATTCAGAGGGATGTACTGTTCCAGAAGGCTTTACAATATTATGATATGTCAGGTACATTATACTGTAAAATCATTTTTATTTGTGGAGCACGGATTTTCGTGGTTTTCTGGGTTAGGTCAATCCACTAATTTGAGATGGGACAAAATTTTATCAAAACTTACTTAATTCTATATATAACAAAGCTTTTTTAAATTATACCTAAAATATATGTTCACTATCAAAATGTGATGTCATCTCAAATATTAATTTTAAGCTGTGTCCCTTTATCCACTTAGCTTTTATTATCAAGCATTGAGAAAAATTGTGTGCTGTCCAGGGACAGGTCTTGTTAAATGTTTGCCATTACTTTTACATAGTTTTAAGATTTTACTTTCCTTTCGTCAGTATGGCATGTCGTTTGAATGAAAAAATAAATGTGCAATTTTGAACACCGTAGGTGGTAAATAAAAGAATGCTAATCTTTGTTTCTTAAATTAAAAGATATATATTTACATAACATAATTTTTGCAGTACGAAACAATAAGCAAATCAAATGTGAAATGATGCCAAGTCAGGCAGGAACTTTGCGGAACAGGGCTGAGATCTATTATAAACAGGACCGGCTAGAGAATGCTTTAGAAGATGGGAAACATGTACTGAAAATTGTCCGCAGTTTGTACGTAGCTCCACATATAGAGATAACTCTGGCCATTGAAAGACTAGCACACTACCACTTTAAACTAGGGAAGAAGAAACAGAAGGATTTGGATGGTAAATAATTTTGTTTCAAATTGTGCTTATTTCCTAAGCATTCTTCCTATCAAAATATAAACAATTTGCTTCATTTTTTGTCTGTTGATCAGATGTTTTTTTCCCCCTTATTATGTTATTGTGCATAATTGTTTAAATATCAAACTGTTTAAGTATTTGATGTTCAGAAATTCCCACACAACACTTTTCTAGAATAATAAGTTTGAAACTATTTTAGTGTAAAGACAGTTGGCTGTTTAAATGTCATTTTGATGTGAGCCTTGATTTTATTTAGAATTACATCTTTAATGGGTTTTTTTTTAAGTTATTTATATATATTTACACAAAAACATTTGTTTATAGAAGAAGGCCAGACTCATCTCGAGAAGGCTATGGAATTTTACGATGAGGTATTGATGCATATTACAAATGGTGGATTACCTTTAGAAAATAATGATGCCAGGACTTACAGACATGTCAGAGGTAAAAACTATAGTCCTTCTGTATGGCCACCTTGATTACTATGATGATCAGTGATTAAGTTTGCTAAATAAATGTAACGACTTCTATCTTGAATTTATCATATTGTCCATATCTTATAAGATGTTTTGGACAACACTATTTTGACATTGTTGGGCTCTTTTGACATCATAGGCTTATTTTGTCATCATAGGATTATTTTGACATTGTTGGATTATTTTGACATTGTTTGGCTTTTTTGACATCGTAGGAGAATTTTACATTGTAGGGCTCTGAAATTAAATAAGTATTTTGACATTGTGAGTTTACTTTGACATTGGTGGGCTTTTTGACCTGACATATTTTATGGACTTGTAGGATTATTTTGCCATCTCAGAATTGTTTTGAAGTGTTGAATTATTTTGACATAGTAGAAATCTTTTGACATTGTAGGGCCAATTTGACAATTTTGGGCTCTTTTGACATCATATAATTATTTTTACATTGTATGATTATTTTGACATTATAGGGTTATGTTGACAGTGTAGGGCTCTTTTGACTTTGTAGAATAATTTGATATTGTAAGATTATTTTGACACTTTTGGGTTCTTTTGACATCTTAGGGTTATTTTAGGGCTCTTTTGACATTATTTTGACAGCATTACATGTTATTTTCAGAAAATCACATGAAAGTGATGAGGTTACTGAGGTATGAAGGGCGATTAGTGGAAAATAGACTTCGGCAGTACCAGGTATTGATTTTGTAGATGCTTTTTAGATAACATGAATTTTCTCCCTTGGCTTCCATTATATGAGCCATTTCAAAATGAAGTATGTTTGAGATTAAATGTATTGTAACAAAAGCTCTTACATAATTACATATTTTAGATTACATTTTTGGAAATGGAGGCTATTTATTAATTTCTTTTTTTGTGAACTTATAAATATACTTGTTGATAATGATAGAAAGTTATTTTAAGACATACATGCCGTAATTTTTAGACTCATTTCCGGGACACTTTTCTTTTGGAAGTGGGGCATTGATCAGCAAACGTATTTTTTTAAAATTTACATAGTGGCATGCAACCTATATTACCCGTATTTACAACTTGCAAATTTAGTGACACCATAAACAAAAGATAGAGTGTCAATAAATATTAACAGTTTTTCTATCTTTTTTAAGAATTTAGGCATCATTGTTCAATCAGTCACAGAATGGAATAAAGCTCTGTTAAGTAATGGCAATTAGCCATGTCGTTTACCTGAAACATTCGCTGAATCTTGTAGATTTCATCACCTCATATTAAGCGGTAATTTTCACGTTCGTTTGACCACTAATAACTGCCTCCAGGCGGATTAAATTTATACTGGCCAGTTGTTAATTACAGTGTATGACACCTTCGCTCAGGAAGCCACAGGGGGTAACAATTAATCTTTTAATTGATCAAAATGTAAAATTTCTTGCTTCAAAGTAGATTATTTTAGATTTTTTTTTTACCGGGACATAAATCATATCCGGGACAGACACCTTATTTCCGGGACTGTCCCGAACATCCGGGACGTTATGGCATGTATGTTTAAGAGCAATTATTTCTACTATATGTATAGTAATAATGATATTTGACAGGTTATATGATCCAATATAAAAAGTTTAGTTATATAGCCTGTCAGAGTCAATTCAGTGGTTATATAGTGAAACTCTAAACAACACAAAATATTTGTGGTTCTGATTTATTCATACATATGAAATTGAATTTTCTATTTTCAGGGTTTTGAAGAGGGAAAATACAATAAAAAAATTCACCATAATCTTCAGCATGATCTAGACTTTGACCCTGCAGAATTTCTCAAAAAAGCCATTGCAGAGGGTGCAAAATTTGTACCCCACAAAATGGACGATTCTGATGATGAATCAAGTGAATCAAGCTGCAGTGAAGCTAGCCATGTAAGTAGCAGTAGTAGCAGCAAGAGAAGTTCTGAACGTGCACAAAGTCCAAATAGAATGATGGACGTTGATCAAGTCATTGCACTAAAAAGACAAGATAGTGGTTTAGAGGAAGCTGAGATGAGTGATGAAGAGGTAGAAGACCCACAAAAAGAGCTAACTGATATGGAAGTGGATAAAAGAGGTGTGAAACCATCAAAAGTAGATAATGATCATGATGCTGCTAGTAAAAGGGAAAGTTTCGGTAAAAGATCCTCAGGGCATGTTAGTAGTGAATTACCAGGTGTTCCTGAAGTAGATGAAGGTACAGGAGAAATACAAATGATTGAATTACGAGAACCATCCTTGTCCAGATCTTTTGATTCGGGTAGGGAGTCCTGCACCAGTTCATTATCTGCATCAAGCTTTGATTCCCACAGAAAGTCTTCATTAAGTTATGAAGATTCACGGAGAGTGTCAAGGTTGTCATCAAGTTTTGAAATGCGAAAACGTCTTGATACATGGTCGAGCACAGGATCTGAGGATTGCGTGTTTTCTGGGGGGCCAAAAAAGCGGGAAAGATTTTCACACTCAGGGTCACAGGATAGTGTTACATTTCAAATAGACAGGATGCTTTGTCTTAGTGATGAAGAGAAAGATGATGGTAATATTGCTTGTACATATACAATTCTGTTATTCTATAAACTATAAACAATCAGTATTTCCTAAAATGTTATCAGAATTCATTGTTTAAAAAAAATTTAGGACAGGCATTGCTGCTAATAATAAAGATGAATACATTAATTTTTTTTACATGGATTTTTTATAACATGTAAAAACAAGAAAAAAAAACCATCAGATATTTTAAAGTTAAGTTCTTTTTGCTAAGAAACAAATGCAAATGCTGTGGCATGAAAACAGTTAAATATATGAAAACAGATGCTTTTATACAATCATTAGTTACAATTATTCTACAATTTCCAATAAGGACAATTATTGACACATTTAAACACATGCCATTGGTGATTATATTAATCCCAAACCTTTGAAAAAGGCCTGATTAAAAGTCTCATGACTGAAAAAAGAGAGCCACTTTGGGTCTTCTAGTCAGTTTAAACTTGAAAGATACTTTTTGACATAAACAGTGTGATTGTCAGTTAAACCAGTTGTCTGTCTGCAATAAAAACATAATTTCTACATTCATTTACGTAACGCCATACCCTCACCTCTACACAAATTTACATACCATCATACCCTTGCCTCTACACGAATTTACATACCATCATACTCTCACCTCTACACAAATTTACATACCATCATACTCTCACCTCTACACAAATTTACATATCATTATACTCTCACCTCTACACAAATTTACATACCATCATACTCTCACCTCTACACATATTTACATATCATCATACTCTCACCTCTACACAAATTTACATATCATTTTACTCTCGCCTCTACACAAATTTACATACCATCATACTCTCACCTCTACACAAATTTGCATACCATCATACTCTCACCTCTACACACATTTACATATCATCATTACTCTCGCCTCTACACTAATTTATATATCATTATACCCATCGCCTCTACACCAATTTACTTACCATCATACTCTCACCTCTACACAAATTTACATACAGTAAAGACTGTCTTAGTGACACCCTAATATAGGGACGTTCTGTCTTTAGTGACCATAGTTAGATGCGCCGAACAGTATTTACTATATAAATGGTCTGTATGTAGCGACTCCCTGTCTAGTCTGTACAACGACCATGATTAAGTCACCCGTTACGGTATTTGCGCTGTTAAAAGCGACTTTTTTCAAGGGAAGCAGGGCTTGAGCTAGAGGGCGACTCGGGGAAGAAGAAACGCTTTCGGGTCTCAGCGACTTCGCCCTAAAACACAAACTTCAAATAGATTTGAAGTCGCCCGATTTTTTTAATGATCTGTCATACTTATTTACGCCGCTAGGTCTGTTAACAATGTGTTTTACCTCTCATTACAACCAATTACCGTTAATCCGCTAGTTTAAGAACGCGTGTCAACATCAAACCAAAGTCTAATACACGCCGCAAGGGAAGAGTTCACTATGTATATCTTTTCTCATTATGTATTCATGCGATTGACGAATCAGAACGCGCATTGTATCTACGGCAGTTTTGCATTGAACCAATTGGCGAGAGGCTAATACACTGTGGCTGTTTTGTTGACAATTACACAAAATGGCGACAGATTCAATCAGTTTTTGCCGATTGAGTGATTAAAGACACCTGCATATATATAATTGCTGCGGTGTTTTGGGCGAGTAAAGATAAAACAATGCCCAACGTCTTAAAGGTGTGGCTATGTTCGAAACCTCAATTGTTTTAAAATTGTTTTCGGAGCACTTATCTGTAGAAATTATGTGAAGATTTGTATCTAATGTTTTATTAATACATTGAACTCAGTAAAAAGTAAACAGGCTGATTATACAAAATTAAATGTCTCTAACATCTCATTAGTAAAATTGAAATTAAACATTTTTTTACAAACAATTTAAATTCAATAATGTTAACTTTTAAATGCTTTTAATCTACATTATACTCTCGCCTTCTACAAAATTTACATACCATCATACCCTTGCCTCTACACTAATACATACCATCATTAGCTCATCTCTACAATATTTACATATCATCATGTAACTCTCACCTCTACACAAATTTACATACCATCATACTCTCACCACTTACAAAAATTTACTATCATTGTACCCATCGCCTCTACACAAATTTATATACCATCATACTCTCGCCTTTACATAAATTTACATACCATCATACTCTCACCTCTACACAAATTTACATACCATCATTCTCTCACCTCTACACATATTTACATATCATCATTACTCTCGCCTCTACACAAATTTACATACCATCATACTCTCACCTCTACACATATTAACATATCATTATACTCTCACCTCTACACAAATTTACATATCATTATACTCTCGCCTCTACACAAATTTACATATCATCATTACTCTCACCTCTACACAAATTTACATAGCATCATACTCTCACCTCTACACAAATTTACATACCATCATACTCTCACCTCTACACTAATTTACATATCATCATTACTCTCGCCTCTAAACCAACAAATTTACATACCATCATACCCTCACCTCTACACAAATTTACATATCATCATTACTCTCACCTCTACAACAAATTTTTTATACCATCATACCCTCGCCTCTACACAAATTTACATACCATCATACTCTCACCTCTACACAAATTTACATACCATCATACTCTCGCCTCTACATAAATTTACATACCATCATACTCTCGCCTCTACATAAATTTACATACCATCATACTCTCATCTCTACACATATTTACATATCATCATGTAACTCTCACCTCTACACAAATTTACATATCATCATTACTCTCGCCTCTACACAAATATACATACCATCATACTCTCACCTCTACACATATTTACATATAATTATACTCTCACCTCTACACAAATTTACATATCATTATACTCTCGCCTCTACACAAATTTACATATCATCATATTCTCACCTCTACACAAATTTACATATCATCATTACTCTCGCCTCTACACAAATTTACATACCATCATACCCTCGCCTCTACACAAATTTACATATCATCATACCTCTCGCCTCTACACAAATTTACATACCATCATACCCTTGCCTCTACACAAATTTACATACCATCATACCCTTGCCTCTACACAAATTTACATACCATCATTACTCTCCCTCTACATAAATTTTACATACCATCATACTCTCACCTCTACACATATTTTACATATCATCATTACTCTCGCCTCTACACAAATTTACATACCATCATACTCTCACCTCTACACATATTTACATATCATTATACTCTCACCTCTACACAAATTACATATCATTATACTCTCGCCTCTACACAAATTTACATATCATCATACTCTCACTCTAACACAAAATTTACATACCATCATGCTCTACACCTCTACACAAATTTACATACCATTATACCTCTCACCTCTACACAAATTTACATATCATCATTACTCTCGCCTCTACAACAAATTTACATACCATCATACCTTCGCCTCTCACACAAATTTACATACCATCATACCCTCGCCTCTAACAAATTTACATACCATCATACTCTCCCCTCTACATAAATTTACATACCATCATACTCTCGCCTCTACACATATTTACATATAATTATACTCTCACCTCTACACAAATTTACATATCATTATACTCTCGCCTCTACACAAATTTACATACCATCATACCTTCACCTCTACACAAATTTACATACCATCATACTCTCACCTCTACACATATTTACATATCAATCATGTAACTCTCACCTCTACACAAAATTTACATATCATCATTACTCTCGCCTCTACATCAAATATACATACCATCATACTCTCACCTCTACACATATTTACATATTAATTATTACTCTCACCTCTACACAAATTTACATATCATTATTACTTCTCGCCTCTACACAAATTAACATATCATCATAATACTCTCACCTCTACACAAATTTACATACCATCATACTCTCACCTCTACAAAAATTTACATACCATCAATACTCTCACCTCTACACAAAATTTACATATCATCATTACTCTCGCCTCTACAACAAACTTTACATACCATCATAATACCCTCGCCTCTACACAAATTTACCTACCATTATACTATGCCTCTACACGAATTTGCATATCATCATACTATGCCTCTACACGAATTTGCATATCATCATATTATGCCTCTACACAAATTTGCATACCATCATATTATGCCTCTACACAAATTTACATACCATCATACTCTCACCTCTACACAAATTTACATACCATCATACTCTCGCCTCTACACAAATTTACATACCATCATACTCTCACCTCTACACATATTTACATATCATTATACTCTCACCTCTACACAAATTTACATATCATCATACCCTCACCTCTACACAAATTTACATACCATCATACTCTCCCCTCTACATAAATTTACATACCATCATACTCTCACCTCTACACATATTTACATATCATCATTACTCTCGCCTCTACACAAATTTACATACCATCATACTCTCACCTCTACACAAATTTACATATCATTATACTCTCGCCTCTACACAAATTTACATATCATCATATTCTCACCTCTACACAAATTTACATATCATCATTACTCTCGCCTCTACACAAATTTACATACCATCATACCCTCACCTCTACACAAATTTACATACCATCATACTCTCCCCTCTACATAAATTTACATACCATCATACTCACGCCTCTACATAAATTTACATACCATCATACTCTCACCTCTACACAAATTTACATATCATCATTACTCTCGCCTCTACACAAATTTACATACCATCATACTCTCACCTCTACACAAATTTACATATCATTATACTCTCACCTCTACACAAATTTACATATCATTATACTCTCGCCTCTACACAAATTTACATATCATCATACTCTCACCTCTACACAAATTTACATACCATCATACTCTCACCTCTACACAAATTTACATACCATCATACTCTCACCTCTACACAAATTTACATATCATCATTACTCTCGCCTCTACACAAATTTACATACCATCATACCCTCCCCTCTACACAAATTTACATATCATCATGTTACTCTCACCTCTACACAAATTTACTTACCATCATACTCTCACCACTACACAAATTTACATATCATTATACCCATTGCCTCTACACAAATTTACATACCATCATACTCTCGCCTCTACATAAATTTACATACCATCATACTCTCACCTTTACACAAATTTACATACCATCATTCTCTCACCTCTACACATATTTACATATCATCATGTAACTCTCACCTCTACACAAATTTACATATCATCATTCCCCATACTCTGCACAAATTTACGTACATGTACCATCATACTTTTGCTTCTACACTAATTTATATACTATCATACCCTCACCTAAATCATAAATGGAATATGGAAACCGCTATGTATCTGCTGATGTTTTTAGAGAATTTAATTTTACATTTGTTTAATGTGCCAACAGCAGAATTAAATTTAAAAAAAGACTTTATAGTAAAAGGCAACAAACAATATTGTACCTTCTGTATTACTTGGTAATAAGTACATTTTCAATTTACAAAACTTCCCATAAAAAGAAATTGGTATTTTATCCAAATAATTTATCTATTTTATAAGAGGGTCAGCTGATTTTACAGCAAAAATTGGGACCCTGTCTTATAAGGAATCAAACTTGTCAGCAAATACTGTAATTTACACACTGCAATAGTTCCTACATATTAGTTTATAATAATAAGTTGTTAACAGAATATGTTGATGTTTTGTTATATCCCCGAAACGAAGTTTAGGGGGGGTATATAGGAGTCACCCGGTGGTTGGTTTGGTCCGGTCCAAACGTCGTTGCATTATCCCTTGTCCGTAGAAATTTAAAGAAAAAGGGGTTGGGAATTCATACATTCATAAATAGTCATCACATTAAATGAAGGCTGAGAAAAACCCATAAAATTTTTTGACTAATTAAGTTATTCCCCTTTTTTATTTTTTTGTCCAGTGCATTTTTGAAAATATTTAGTTGAATTTCAATAAAATTTCTAAAAGGGTCAGGGAAAATGAGGGGACTTCAGTGTACAGTTAATAACTCCATCTTGATTGTAGTATTGCAATTTTTCCCTTTTCCCCTTTGGGCCCGGGGCATAACTTTAAAAAAAGTTTAGAATTCAATGAACTTCATACAATGTTAAAACGTTGAGGGAATGCAGCGCTTAAAAAGTTAACTCTTTCGATTTATTACGAGTAATTCAAAAAATTTACAATGGGCAACCATATTTTTTTAAGGAAAAGCAACTAAATCAAGGGGCAAACTCTGTGGTATTTTCTGATCTTTGCAATCTAAATCGTACTGTATATCTGTATGTGTTTTCCTGTATTAGTTTATTTTTATATACTATAATTCATCTTACAGGGCACCGAGTTGCAGTGCAGTTTGATTTTGATACTAACCGAATTTTGCATGACTAGAGTTGCATCAAAAATCATTTATGCTCATTTTTCTATGACAGTCACACTTTATCCTTGCATAACATGGCTACTTTCTTTAAAAGACACTTACAAAAAAATAGTTGCCTTGACTGTGACCTACAAAAAAATAGTTGCCTTGACTGTGACCTCTCACACCCTAAACGAGCGCGTTACCCCTGCCCCACGGAAAAATTATTCGAAATATGCCTGAATAAAATCAAATAATTCTAAATTTAAAATTTCCATTTCGGGTTTGTAATCTTTATAAATTTCGAGGTATTTTGTTCACGATAAACCTGTAAAATAATTTAGCGAAAATATTCTCGCCAAAACAGTCCGTCATGTATATAATCTACTGCTCGACTAGTCTGGAGTTCCTTCCCCTTATACTACGTTATACTGCTTTCTGCAGTAAATGTTGGCAGGGAACCAGACTACTGCTCGATTTGTGTACTACGCTCTGAAGTATTCGATAATCGACATCGCTAAGAATAACATTTTCATTGATTAAATTATTTCTTTCTTTTACATTGCTAGTTTTAAGCTGTTTTGAGAACTACTTGTTGTTATGTTTGTCGTGAAATTTTGTGCCAGAGATTGAATGCCAACATTGTATTTCCTGATCTGCGATCAGAAAATACAAAAACCACAACTATCTTTAATTGCACACAACCATAACTCTATTTCAATTCTTTTACAAGATATTCTGTTACTTCTAACTTCCTCATTTCTGAAGCAGTCTTGCGGGGGTATTAATTACATTTAGTGATAGTTCTAGTTAGAATAGTTGTCATGAAATTATTGCACATATATCATTAGCTTTCTGCCACTACTCTATTTTGTTCTCTATTCTTTTTTTAAGATGATGAGTGTGGAGTGAAATCAAATAAAAGGAAGAAAACAGAGGACAATTAGATGTTGACCACTCAAAGATTTTTGTACAGAATAATAACAGGAAAATATAATAATGGATTTCAAGGAAATTGTTTTTCTTAATGATAAATGAATAGGTGTTGATTGATCCAGATAAAGTTGTGGAATTGCTTATGGTGTTTAGACTCTGTAAAAAGCACTGGTACATGTATCTGTTATGTTATGTCTAGTTATGACTTTAACACTTGTTATTTTTTTGTGTAATATATGTTTAGAATTGTCATTGAACATTTCAGATAAATATGTTTTAGTTATGTATATTGGAAGCTTTCTGAATCTCCTTATTTTTTTTTTAAGAATTTTAATATTCGTAGTATGTTTTTTATTGTAATATACATGTCTAATTGTGTATCTTAACAAATCTTTTAACTACAAAGAAATGGATCCACCAATAGTTTTGAAAATGCTAAGTTGATAAAAACATGATACACGTATGTGAATAGGTGGCAATACTGGGATTTTCCATTCCAGAAATTTTTCTGTCTCATGTCAGATCTCAGCCTGCTCAATATAAGCTTTTTATAGAAATACATGTACTCTGGAACTTGCTAAACTTTTAAAGTTATAACTTGGTAATATACATGTATATCAATGATAAGGGCAATGGGTTGATCAAGCCAATATGAGTGCACAGTGAAGCTTCAACACTAATAGATTGTACCACAGGATAAGATGGGAAAAACCCACATTGGCAGATAGGATGGGAAAAAACCCACATTTGCAGATAAGATGGGGAAAAACCCACATTTGCAGTTCCAGATATCATAAGTATCTTGAAATAATAAGTGTACTGGTATGTCTGGTTAATGAACATACTTTGTGATTAATATTATGGATTTTATTTTATCTCGGATTATATTTTTGTGACAGAACTAATCACAACAAGACCAAGTTAAAGCTATATGGCTCCAGATGAGTAAAATATTAATTTTATAACTTTTTAAATATTGTTAAATGTATGAAAAAAATCACAGTTCACACAACGCTCCAAATGTTATGATAAAAAAAATATGTATATAGGGCTAAGTTTATTTCTGTGTTTTACAGTATCTTACAAGTAATTTACACAATTTTATTTTATCAACTTGTATAATTGGTATTATATTTACTGTTATTGTTGATTAATGTGCCATAATATTTTTTTTTATATATTTACAAGTCCTGTATTAGTGCTATTCTATTTTTGCAAAGAAAAGTTGTGGGGTAATCTTAGATATTAACATTTCAATTTACTTTGATATTTTTCATTCATAATTCTGTAAATGTCCTTTAAATGAATACACTAGGCAGTCATAGGGAAAAAACTTTTATTCTTATGGAAAATAAAATGATGGTTTCCTAACTTGACCCACGTGGGTCAGGTTAGAGCGTTAAGATTTCACAATAGTTGTCACAGTGAATTCTGGAAATGTTCAAGAACAGACATGTCAAATGAATGATATAGATTTGTTTCAATAATACAATATCCTAAATATCTGTTATTGTAACTTTCATGGTTTGTTCAAGTCACTTGAATAGTATTAAAATTACTTGGTGATTTTGTTGGTGTCTAAATTTCCTTCAACATTTAAAGATATATTTACGCTTCAAACTCAAAATATATAGAATTTATACATAAATTTATGCTGGGACTTAAACAAAAGTCATTTTAGGGTGATTTGAGTACATAAGGTGATTTTGATATATTTGTCATTAATTAGCCCGAGTATCCCTTTAAGCACTTTGTAGTACTTATTCCACATTAAATGTTTACAAGTTTTTTCAGGTAAATTTATATTTTTGACAGCTAGTCTCCTACAATCACTTTTCACATTTGTTTTACGCTAAGTCATTTCAATCATCAAATTATATATTTTTTTCTCACTTTTAAATGAATTGCGGTTTCCATTTCTTTGCTCACAATTTTTTATCTATGCAGAAAAGGACTTGAATGATCCCTTTTAACTATTTGAACTCAATTTGAGCCGCGTCACGACAAAACCAACGTAATGCGTTTGTGACCAGCATGTATCCAGACCAGCATGCGCATCCGCCGTTCTGATCAGGATCCATGCTGTTCGCTTACAGTTTCTTTACTTATAATAGGGTTGTTAGCGAACAGCATGGATTCTGATCAGACTGCGCAGGCTGGTCTGGATCCATGCTGGTCGCAAACGTATTACGTTGGTTTTGTCGTGATGCGGCTCATTTGTTTGAAACATTTCCAGGTAAAAGTTAGATGTATTTGTTATCAAACATAGATAGTATACTGAAAATCAAACTAGTTACAACATATGTTAGATACTGAGCAATGACAAGATGGTTTACATCTTAGATAATAGATTACCAGTATTTTATTTGTTGTAGATGAGGATTTGTTATCGGAGATGTTTTTTTATCACATAAACCGCGGCGCAGGAGTGTAATAAAGCCATTTAATAAAAACGATATTACACTGGACGATATTACACTAGTGTAATAACACTTTGACGTCACGTCATTTGCACTATATACATAGCGTAAAAGCGCGCTAATGTTAGCGTTACACTATAGGCGAGTCAAAGAAAAATGACTCTTGTTAACAGTTTACTGTTCTTATTTTATATATGTGATAAATAGAATATTATATTCGTGTAGATTCAATACTAAATTTATTGAACTCGTTGAATAAAACAATATTATGCTCGCCAGAGGCTCGCATAATATCATGATTTTATTAAACTCGTTCAATAAATTTAGTATTAAATCTACACTCATTCAATATCCTCTATATGTTTCATTTTTTTAGTCATTTTGTGTGTGTTTAAACTGTAGAACATAGTAGTAGCAACTTTATATTGAATATTTTTCATAAATATTACATTCCATTTAAATATGAAATTTTTTGTATTGCTATGGCCAGTTATCATGCATTTTGGTCAAACTTTTACACTTATAGCTTAAAACTTGTCTTATGTCATTTAAGAAAGTCTCAAACAACGTCATAATACATTAAAAATCAATTCATATTAAATCAAAAATCATATTAATAGATATTATAATTGATCTCTGATCACCCTATTTTTTACATATAGTTAGACTTACAACTACATTTATATTGATTTAGTTCCAGACAAAGCAGCATTTTAACTCTGATCTCGTTAATTGTTGTTCAATATAAGATTTTTTTATGTCTTTATTATATATATTGTTCTTTACTTGATGATTGTCATAATGTTTTTGAAGGATAATGCTTTTGCTATGTACAATTAATAATGTTTTTCAAGGGTAATGCTTTTGCTATGTGTACAATTAATAATGTTTTTGAAGGGTAATGCTTTTGCTATGTACAATTAATAATGTTTTTGTATTGCAAAGTTGTTGCTATTTGTAATGAATAATGTTTTTTTAGGGCAAAGTTGTTGATATTTGCAATGAAAAATGTTTTTGTAGGGCTTGCAAAGTTGTTGCTCTGTATAATGAGTAATGTTTTGGTAGGGCAGGCAAAGTTGTTGCTATTTGTAATGAATAATATTTTCATAGAGCCAAATTGTTGCTATGTATAATGCATTATGTTTTTGACTCGCTTTTGCATGTGTTCATGTTTCATTGATAAATATATAATGTATATTCAATGTTATATAGTTTTAAGATAACACAACAAAAATATATCATACTCAATATATCATACTCAATCTCTGACTTGAGAAGTAGGTATGTACATGCTCAATCTCTGACTTTGGTAGTAGGTATGTACATACTCAATCTCTGACTTGGGTTGTAGGTATGTACATACTCAATCTCTGACTTAGGAAGTAGGTATGTACATACTCAATCTCTGACTTAGGTAGTAGGTATGTACATACTCAATCTCTGACTTAGGTAGTAGGTATGTACATGCTCAATCTCTGACTTAGGTAGTAGGTATGTACATACTCAATCTCTGACTTGGGTAGTAGGTATGTACATACTCAATCTCTGACTTGGGTAGTAGGCATGTACATGCCTGTTGTAGAATAGTCAGTATCTCTTTGATCTGAACCATTATCATGGCTTATTTGTTTATCTCAATTTTTCGTTGTCCCGACTTTGAATGTACTGGCGACTTAGAAATAAACATGGTTTACTGTATAAGAAAAAGATAGATTTTCTTAATTTAATTGAGCTTTATATGGTATATGTAACATAGGACAAAATTTGTTTAAAGGGAATTTGTCCATAATGGAAAGTCTGTGAGACCATAAATTATCATTTTGATTATACATATTTATGCCCCCGCCATGTAATGGCCGGGGCATATAGTGTTACCCTGTTCCGTCATTCCGTCCTTGCGTCATTCTGTCATTCCGTCATCATCAGTTTCCGTTCATTATCTTAAGAACGGTTGCACACATTCAACTCAAATTTGACATATGGATATGTCATGAGAAAATACAGGTCAAGTTCGAATTTGGTGATGGTTCGATGATTTTTGGCAGAGTTATGCCCCTTTTACTTTGAAAATAATATGAAATTTCAGTTTCCGTTCATTATCTCCCCAACGGTACAACACATTCAACTCAAACTTGACATATGGATATGTCATGAGAAAATACAGGTCAAGTTCGAATTTGGTCATTGTTTGATGATTTTTGGCAGAGTTATGCCCCTTTTACTTTGAAAATAATATGAAATTTTCAGTTTCCGTTCATTATCTCCCCAAAGGTACAACACATTCAACTCAAACTTGACTGAGGATGTCATGAAAAAAAATACAGGTCAAGTTGGAATTTGGTCATGGTTCGATGATTTTTGGCAGAGTTATGCCCCTTTTACTTTGAAAACAATATGAAATTTTCAGTTTCCGTTCATTATCTCCCCAAAGGTACAACACATTGAGCTCAAACTTGACATATGGATGCGTCAAAGGAATGGGCAGGTCAAGTTCAAATTTGGTCATGGTTCAATGATTTTTGGCAGAGTTATGCCCCTTTTACTGTGAAAGTAATATGAAATTTTCAGTTTCCGTTTATTATCTCCCCAATGGTACAACACATTCAACTCAAATTTGACATATGGATATGATTTTGGAATGCCCAGGCCAAGTTCGAATTTGGTCATGGTTCAATGATTTTTGGCAGAGTAATGCCCCTTTCACTTTGAAAATAATATGAAATTTACAGTTTCTGTTCATTATCTACCCAACAGTGTTACATATTCAACTTAAATTTGACATATGGATATGTCAAAGGAATGGGCAGGTCAAGTTGGAATTTGGTCATGGCTTGATGATTTTTTGGCAGAGTTATGTCCCTTTCACTTTGAAAATAATATAGATACATCTTAGGAATAAGCAGTTTAAGTTTGAATTTGGTCGTGGTTCAATGATTTTAGACAAACTTATCTTTCCTGAATGTTGGAAAAATTTTGAACTTTCAGTTTCAGCACTCATACTTTTAGCCATTATTTTGGCTACAAATATGCAATATGCTATTTTTAAAAGGTTAAGACTGAATAATTTCAGTGCCTTGAACATTGTATGAAAATGGTTTGTGTTAACATTGAAAAGTTTTAAGTGCTTTGAACTTAAAATGAAAAAAATAATTAATGCACCATCTGAAATTTTGGCTGCATGCGAGGGCATCCGTGGCATGATGACACATTTCTAGTTTTAGGTAGTCTTACTGAAATGCTTTCCCACCAAAATGTTCTAACATCAGTTAATACTGTAGCAAAGTGGTACATTATGGGAACGTTATTTTTTCAAAATCTTGGGCCATAGATTATTGACAATCACTTATCATTTATTGCAAGGTACTAAATTCCAGTAATAAGTGGTAAGAATTATTGAATATTAAAATCATGAAAATTTATGTTCCGTAAAAGTCCGATTTATTATGATATTGGCTGATTTAAAAATTTTTTGGTGGCAAAGCATTACAGTAAGACTACCTGACAACAAATCAGGAAAGAATTTCATATGAATGTTGTTTTTAAGTGTAAAGTAGGTTCATGTACATGATCCCATATAACTTATCTACAAGTAAGAGATATTAGTTTTTAGCTCGACTTTTCTATGAAAAGGGGAGCTATCCTACTCGCCCCGGCGTCGGCGTCGGCGTCACACCTTGGTTAAGTTTTTCGTACCACCCCACTTTATTTCAGAAGTATTACAAGTATGGCTTTGAAACTTACCATACTTGTTCACCATCATAACCTCCATCTACAGACAAGAGTACATAACTCTGTCAAGGTTTTTGACAGAATTATGGCCCTTTTTTGACTTAGAAAGTGTATTGAGCTTGGTTAAGTTTTTTGTACCACCTCACTTTATTTCAAAACCATTGGAGGTATTGCTTTGAAACTGACCATACTTGTTTACCATCACGACCTTCATCAACAGACAAGAGGACATAACTCTGTCAAGGTTTTTGACAGAATTATGCCCCTTTTTGACTTAGAAAATACATTGAATATGGGTAAAATCCACTTATTGCCTTAACCTTTGAGATATTGCTTTGAAACTTTTAATGCTATTTCACATCATTACCCCCATCTGTACGCAAGAGAAGGTAACTCTGTCAAAGATTTGTTTTAAAAATTAAGGCCTTTTATCGACTTAGAATCTTGGTTAAGTTTTTAGTACCAGTCCACTTTTTGACTGAACTGTTTGAGATATTAATTTGAAAGTTGGAATACTTGTTTACAATCATGATTCCCAAACATGTCCAGGAGAAGGTAATTCTGTCAAAGATTTTATTTGAATTATGGCCCTTAACTGTCAATGTTTTGTATTATAGGCAAGCACTAAAAAACTTAAAAAATCTAAAAAAATTCATTCCTATCCACTTGTTCACTTTACCATAAATTATGTCATATAAATTTATTTAAGGCTCAACTCAGTTTTTTTTTCTTTCTTACCAGCCCTCTTTTGACTTAAACATTTCAAACTTTGCTGCAGTGTTCAAGGGTATCACACAATTCAGTAAAATAATTCTTCACTAAATATCTTAATGCTCATGGCCATTGTTCACTTTAAAAATACAGAGATTCTTGTATTGCCTTTTACTGTAAAAACTTTTTTTATTGGCAAGCAATAAAAAAGTCGAGCGCGCTGTCTTACGGACAGCTCTTGTTTTTTTTAGTTATAAACCTTCATACTAAATCTGAGCACTCTGTCAACATTTTTTCTTCAAGAAATCTTTTATAAAAAATATCCAAATGATAAAATTCTATTGTTTCTATCAATATTTAAATCAAATGAGCTGCCTCACGACAAAACCAACATAATGGGTTTGCGACCAGCATGGATCCAGACCAGCCTGCGTGTCCGCTCAGTCTGATCAGGATCCATGCTGTTCGCTATCAGTTTCTCTATTTGTAATAGGGTTTGTAAGCGAACAGCATGGATCCTGGTCGCAAACCAACTATGTTGGTTTTGTCATGATGCAGCTCATTTAAATTATTTATGAAAAATGTGTCCATTGTGGACCAATCCTCATTTTTACCCTGTTATTAATGCATTAGGGGCTATTTATAGAAGTCTTGTCACATAAAAAGTACAGGTAGAAAAGATTTTTAGCAACATCGGCTAAATTTATTTGCTTATGGATAATGATTTGAACTTCTCACTTTGAAGCCCTATTAGTTAATTGTATCCATGATTAGTATATTCTGTGTCTGAGCATAATTTACCATTCCATATTTGTAATTTCATTGAATATTATATACATGTACAATGTTGGCTTCTTGATTTTTATAGCATAAAAATGCATATTTTTATTATTGATTCTTGTTATTTGTTTACAAAAATTTATGCAATGTGTTTAACATGACTTGTGCCATAATTGTTTTTGTAATTTTTGTTTTGTTTTTACAGTATATACATTCTAAAATGCAGTTATATTTTTATGTTGTCAAAATTTTATATGATGTTAGAAGTATGTATGAATTTATGCCACTATCAACTGATTATATGATGCTAGAGTAGTGACTGACTGAGGTCTTAAAAACATAATAGAAACATTTTCAATATGAGATGTCATGTTCTTTTTTGGGTAGTTGTTTTTGGATGATAGAGAAAAAAAAGAATAATTGATAAAACTGCTAATTCTATTTTCAAAATAAATAAGGCTTTGGCATAGTGTTCATGGGGTTAAAATTAAGTATTTTAATTAAATTGCTTATGGTAATAATGAAAGGTGAGTTTGTATTTTGAAAGATTATTTATTTATATAGATTAATAATTTTTAGTTCTCACTCAAAGAACTATTTCCTAAGGGAGGGGGGAGCAGGTTCATGTGAAGTCCTACACTTCATTATGCCATGTTTAACATGAAATGAGTGAAATAAAGAATTGAGAATTGCAAAGCTACTATAGTTTACACCCCTCAGTCATTATGTTTATTGTATTTTTTATGGAACACCATGAATAATATTTTTCAAAATTGTACATATTTTTGTAAGTTTGTTCTCTGAATAATTTTAGTTGTATCAACTACATTGTTGTGGACATGGATTTGGATTATTGTTCTGGGGCCCATTGCCTCTCAAATAGTTGATATTTTGGATCAGGCCTTTAGATATAGTTCGATGCACATGATGTGAGTGTAAATTTATAAAGTTTGATGCACATCATGTCATGTCAGTGTAAATTTATGTAGTTTGATACACATTATTTGAGTGTAAATTTACATTGTTTGATGCACATTATTTGAGTGTAAATTTACATAGTTAAATGCACATCACATCATGCCAGTGTGAATTTATATAGTTTGATTCACATAATGTAGGTGTAAATTTATATAGTTTGATGCACATCATGTTACAAATTGTATGTCATTGTGAATTTACATATTTTGATGCTCTTGATGTCAGGGGGCGTCCGAGGCCGAGGAATCGAGGCTGTTAATTTCAAACCACTTGCCTGTCACCGCTTCGGGTTTGAATCCCACCAAGGAGTTTGGATTCTTTCATGCGAAAAAGCTGTCCAGCTAACTTACTGAATGTCAGGGGTTCTACTCTGGTGCCCATTTGTGCCTGAAATAATGCACAAGAGGGCACCTGAGGTCTTCCATTACTAGTAAATCTGGAAAGTTGTCATATGACCTTTATAATGTTGATGCGACATTAAACCTGACACCATCCTTCCAAAAAAAAAAAAAGACATCAGACTTGGTCAGAATGTTTTTCTCAATGCCATCATTGACAAGTTTGCATATACATTGTATGTCATCTGGAGTCAGAAACTAGTTCAGTATTTCCAGTCAAAGTACAATGTTGTTAACACTATAAATATCACAGTTTTGATTGGATCATCATTAAACTTTGTCAGAATATTTTTTTTTATAATGTTTAGACTACATGGATCAGCTTTGGTAAAAAATTTTGTCTTGAGGTCAAATGAAAGAAACACTTGTTATCATTATAAGAGATCATTTGAGTTTTCAGGTCAAAAACTAGGTCACCAGGTCAAATTAATGAAAACCACAAGAAACTGGCTTTTGAATAGGTCTTCATCAAATTTGTCAGAATGTTTCCCTCATTGATATCATTGAAACAATTAGGCTTAATGCAACTCAAATATAGGTTTGAAGTGTAATGGAATGTATAGTCTAAGATAATTACATGCATTAATGACTGGTGTTAATAGAATGTTGACAAATTGACATTAAAGTATTAATATTTCAAAGTTACTTTTAATCTGAACTACAATGGTTATGTTGTTAAAAATAAACTTCTGTTTAAAATAACAATTGGAATTATGTTTACATGTACATGAAATATATATAATTTGTATATTCACTAAGTGTAACATGAAAAATAAAATACAAGTAAATATACAAAAAATTGTTGTTGAATTTATTTTCATTTCCAGATGGAATCAAGCAACATAAAAAATAAAAAGATATTTATGTTTCCTTCTGAAAGATTGCACCCTATAAAGGTAAGTACTGATACCTGCCTGTAATAAAGTGAAGTCTAGAGAGCTTGCGTTGACCCTGTGCTATAGTTCCAGGAGTTTGAGTCAGTGTTTGATAATGATGCAGAAAATAGTGCAAAAACAAAAATGACTGAGCAAAAAGAGACCTTAGTTGAATCTTATTCAGATTGCATTTACAAGATACCACTGAATACAGTGTTAATTAAGGCATCTCCAAAACTGTTCATCCAGAAGTAAACACAGTGACTGCATGTGCTTCCAGAGAATCCAGATACACTATGATACAAAGTAGTTCCATGGAGCTATTTGCAAATGTGACTCATTGAAATAGCTTTCAAAGTCAAATTAAAAAAACTGACAGAAAATTTCACTCCTAAACTTTTACATAAAGGATGCACCACTTGCTAAATCCAAATTTTTAAGCCCCTGCCATTAAAGTGGCTGGGGTGATGGATACCTGTATAATGTAAGTTTGTTGGGGGGTGCATGTGTGCATGCATGTGTTTGAAAAAGTCTGATCCATAACTTCTGGATCCATGATTGGATTCCAAAATTAACTGGATGCATAATAGGATAAACTGGTAGACTTGATCACCATTAGAAGACGATGTTTCATGTATAAGACTCAGGTGCCTTGTTCAAAGGTCAAGGTCACAGCAATGGATCTTAGTGTCTTAAGAGCATTTGGAATTTTGTTTCAGGTCCATAACTTCTACATAATATGGGATTAAAAAGATAAATGGTACATATGATCAATGAATTAGATAATGTGTTGTGTGCATTTAGACCCATGTTAACACCTTCAAGGTTAAGGTTGAACATGGAAGTCAAAGGCCAAATCCTGTCAGGCTTTTAATTGTCATTTCTTGATGAATTGTCAGAATATTTTGTATTAGTTTTCATCATTAGGACAGTAGTAAGTAAGATCCCTGTTCCCACAATCATGCAAGCTCAAAATATGCAGGAATTAAATATCTTACACCATTAGTTTAAGGGAATTGACAATTGGTTTGAAATCAATGGCCAAATATTCATAAACTTAATTGATATGATCTGAAATAGGTATGAATGAAAAATAAATTTATAATTTATTTAGCTGGCCAATAAGTAGTCCAACCAATTGTACTGCTTGATACGCCATATTTCGCCTGGGCAATATCTCGCCTCTTAAAGCAAGATATAATTATATATATACCGGACACAGCCCTTGAATGATAAAATCTTGCCTTTTACCCAAAGGAATGAACTTTAAAAGAAAGGATGTAACTCAATACAGGATTGGAGCAGTACCTATAGACGCTTACAGAAATCATGATATTAAAAAAGACAAATATGTTTTTTTTGCAGATTATTGCATTTTTCATTTATTGTTGTATATAAATTGGTGTGAAAAGATGAATTAGACGTTTTAAAGTTCATTCCATAAGGTGAAAAGGAAAGATTTTAGCATTTTATCATTCAAGCGTCTTGTCCGGTATGTACCGGAATACAGTATTTAGTGTGGTGCTCCAATCCGTTTTTATTTGTTTGGGTCGTCAGACCAAACAAATAATGGTAGCGAAATTTCAGACTCTGATGCTGTTAATTGCAAATGCCGAAAGTAGTCCGCTTTTTTGAAGCAGTTACTTCCCTTTATATGACATTGTACACTTACACCGAAAAATTAAGGGGAGATCACTGCATAAAGATTGTCAAATGACAGGCGCAATTATTTTCAAGCCTTCTCGGGGGGAGAAAAAATAGTTCCCAATTGGCTGAAGATTTCTAATATTGTGTTATTCTTTACAGATAAACATGCTTATATAAAGCTCCATGATTATTTACGTCTGAGTGTTAAACAACAGGTTTACCGTGAGATTAGTTTAAGGGTTATAAATTAACCCTAATTTAGAATAATGTGGTTTTCTTCAGGCTGTTATCTTAAAACTTCCCCGTGGTCGAGGGGTTACAAGCTCGGTTAGGAAGTGAGATTCTGGAGTTCAAATCCCAATTAAGGCAACTCTTTTTCTTTTTTTTCTTTTTTCATTTGCCAAATAAAAAATGAATTAAATATCAGTGTTGCAAGTAGCCTTATATCCAATTTTCTACAGTTATAACACTGGAAACAGCATTGGTGACACTATACAAAAACAAATTGGTTTATAATCTCACAACCTTCACCTTTCTGACATTCTGAGACCCAAACAAATTCAGCGCCTCCTGTGCTTTGATTTAGTCTCACCAATCCCGATTGTCAGGGTATCGCATTGTTACATGGCCAGTGATTGGCTGAAAAAAAAGTGCAGGGAAAACTGTATGATTCAATTTATACATGAGGTGATTGACAAACTCACAGCAGCGGTTACTTCCCCTGATCAGTACAGTTAAAGTAGCAAAGCATGACGTAACCGCTGTGAGGAGTTTGGGTGATTGAATGAAAATGGGGTATTTTTTAGTATAAAAACTAATTTAAAAAGTAACACTACATTGTTTTCTGAAGAAAATGAAATATTTCATGAGTCTCTTTGATAATTTTGACTTGGATATTTGTATTTATAAAAAGTGCATGTCAGTCCTGTGATCAGCAGAAAATTTCAATGAAATCCTCTTTGAAGTCATTTTGCAAAAAATTTGGTTGGCTACCCCTATATAACAGAAACATTTTTATGTGTCAGGCATTTCATTCTGCTAGAAAAATTACCTCTTTAACATGAAAACTCAATTTCAAGGTAGGACTAGGGACCATTTCATATATGTAAGTCTATGGAAATATCAATATGTGTGTCTGACCTATCTCCGAGTTTTAAGTTACGGTATGGGGACGGTTAGCATAACGGTATTTGACCAATCAGAAAAGCAAAAATTCGTCATCGAAATATTTGGTTGAATAATTTCTTTTCTTTAACTAAATTTATCATTTATGGTAAGGACAAGTGAATTTTATCCTGATATTGACTTATATAAGAGAAGATGTGAACAAACTCAACTCAAGCGGTTTAGTCCTTTTGAAGAATGTTTTTGTCATACATTTTCGCGACTTCCAAAAAATTTGACATTCTTTTATTTTAGATATTGGCAATTAATAAAGCAACGCTTTATCTTATTGCAGTTTATTTATAGTTTGGCAATTATTAAATTTTTATTGTATAAACGTATTGTTCTGGCTTCCAAGTTCCATAACTTTATCACAGACGCTTGGGGTTTGTAGTCCAATAGATTAGACGTTACAGGCTTGTTATAGTTTTATTTTGGTCAAGCCTGACGTCTAATAGTTATTGGTCAAAAACGTGTAGCATTTTGAAAAATTAAAAAAATGTCTGTTGACTTGCCTTTCAAGCTTTATTCAAAAGCTTATCTTCTGTTCTTTCAATTGCATGGTCTATCATTAACAAAAAGTTTCAAACAATGTACTTATTAATTAAAAATAAAATATAAATATCAATCTATTTCGCTCATCAGCCATACTGGTTAAGTAAAGCGTTTTACAGATTGATTCCATTTTTTTGAACGGAAAATATTTTCGAACACACTGACGGTGCATGGGCAATTATTTCGTTGAAAAAAATATTCCGTTAGAAACTTCTGGAGTCATTTAAACGCTTGCATTTGAATTAGCCAATCAGATTTCGCGCACTGTATGGGCGGCCATTTGTATATCTGCTGTACATGGAATTTAATTAAATGAGAGGATTAAATCATGACTTTTCGGTGTGACAGTTCAATTATTTTGTTGAAAGGTATTTAATTTTTAGTTTTGTTCATAAATAGTTCAAAATTTATGTAAATACACGCTGTTTTAATTGTTAAAATGCATTAGATCTAAATCGATGTCTAATGTCAATTTTTTTGCTACACGATTTTGCAAAGATCTGTTAAGACCTAACGTAACATGGAAAATGAAAAATGTAAAATAACAGATTAATGAATGATAAATATGAAATAGGTTACGTATAGGTCTTATAATTAGGACGTGTTGGAGAGAAACATATTATTTTTCTAGAAATATGATATTTTATGTCTGGCATTTTCCACAGACGCTTGGGGTTTGGAGCTCAAAACGCCTTTAAAATCCAAATAAAATGCATATTTGTCAATCCCAGCACATGTACTGATCATATATATCAAAAAATCTTAATATATGCCGTTTTGAAAAAAATCATATTTCAACATCTCAGGGCTCACGCTGTCGGTCGCCATAGTCGCCATTTGCGATTATTTTATAAGATTGGCGATTATTTTTGCATTTTGGCTACAAAATCTGGCGATTATTTTTACTTCCAACAGTGTTTATATAAGGTGTAAAAATCGATAATGAATGCAGTAGACCCAATTAACACCAGCGGGGTGGATTTAATTGAGTGTCAACTTTTTACCGGTCACGTGCTGCTAACTATATTGCCCGAGGTGAAAAAATACATGCGAGATGTATAATTGTATAAGTACTTGAAAGATATTGTCCAGCATTTATAATAGCCATCAAATATCCGTCAATTAGCCACAAAAAAATCGTTTTAAAATTGATAAACTGGATATTGACTTACCCAAAATTTACCGTGAATTGCAGTAATTGCAAATTTTGATTTTTTTTTGTTTTAAGCTACTTGACTAAATTGCCAGTGAAAAACAATGGTAAAATATTTAAAAAGTATTAACTTCCAAACAACTATTTGAACAACAACCAAAATTGTGAATATTTCTTCAGAAAACAGGAAAAATCCGATTGTCACATATTTTCGCGACACCGATAATTTTGATATTTATTTAAAGGTGAAATAAGCTATGTTCTGTTTAAAAATCTTTACTACTATGGCAGAAAATTTGTATTACATTGGTGATGATGATATTTTTCAGTAAATTATTCAGAAAAAAGGCTGCATTCTGTGAATGAGTTTGCAAACTTGTGTTATTTCTATAGGCTAATATGACCTAGATCTACTCCAGTTCTGTGTGAAATGTGGAAATTGACAGTGGTTATAGCTGACAAAATTTGATTAGAACAAAAAAGTTGTCTGATAACAGCATTATGTAAAGTTATAATGAATCTTTAATATTATTGTCATACAGTTTTGAGTTATACTAATTATAACGTTTTTATTCTGTTCTATAATAACAATTAAAGTTGTGGTTCTATTTAAAAAAAAAAAAAGGTAGTTATCAATATACACAAATGTATCAGTTTATTTGAGAATCCTTATAAAACTAAAATAAATTATATATGTAATGTTTATTTAATCAACTGTTTATGTTGTTAATCGCTAATTCGTGAATAGTCCGCTGAACTTTTGGCTATTATTTTTTTAAGTTGAAATTATTGGCTATTATTTTATTTGAGCCAGCGTGAGCCCTGACATTTATAATAATACACAAGATAAAAATGTTCGCCGGAAAAAATCCGCACCCCTACCGTCATAATCACCATGTATTTTAATCCATTTCCAATATTTTCACATAATCCTTTGGTCCATCGACACAGAAGATATAATTCTTCACGATGATGGTCAATTTTAAACTTCAACGGTAATATAAACAACGCAACAGCCGAAATAAACATCAATATTCTCGCTGTTTTTTTTCAACGACAAAAACTTACGATAAATTCAATGGACCAGACGGCTATGAACGAAGCTATCCGATTATGTGGTTCCCAAACTTAAAAGCGCTGTGCATTTTGCACACGGCAAAGCTGGGGCCACATAATCGGATAGCTTCGTTCATAGCCGTCTGGTCCATTGAATTTATCGAAAGTTTTTGTCGTTGAAAAAAAAAGGCGAGAATATTGATGTTTATTTCGGCTGTTGCGTTGTTTATATTACAGTTGAAGTTTAAAATTGACCATCATCGTGAAGAATTATATCTTCTGTGTCGATGGACCAAAGGATTATGTGAAAATATTGGAAATGGATTAAAATACATGGTGATTATGACCGTAGGGGTGCGGATTTTTTCCGGCGAACATTTTTATCTTGTGTATTATTATAGATGTTGAAATATTTTTTTTTTTCAAAACGGCATATCTCAAGTTTTTTTGATATATATGATCAGTACATGTGCTGGGATTGACAAATATGCATTTTATTTGGATTTTAAAGGCGTTTTGAGCTCCAAACCCCAAGTGTCTGTGAACTTTATATGCCACTTTTATTTTTGACGTGCGACGTCAACCCTAATTGCAAAGGCTACCAGAATTATGGCAGTTCGTTGGCAGTACATAAATTCCTATTAAAATCATCCTTATTTATCAAATTTGGGTCAAATGAAAATACCATTTGATAAACAAATTGAATTTGAACCAATTCATGTTTTTCTTTAAATTGAAACTTCAATTATTTATGACTAATATGACATTGTGTACCCAACTAGATGGTAATGTAACGATTCGCCACACTAACGATTCGCCACATAACGATTCGACACAGAGTAATAACGATTCGCCACAGTTAAATAACAATTCGCCACGTGTTCAAATACAAACTTGTTCACACCTGTTTTCAAATTGTTGATGGAAAACTATTTTATATTATATATTTCATTTGTTAACTACATAAACAAATTACACTGAATAAAGCGTTTATTGAATAAAAAACACACGAAAACCAGATATTTTATTAACAAAATTACATAACACATTTTATAACTTCGTTATTGATATAAACTGGAAAAATATACTTACAACTTTTATAGAATAAAAACACATGAAAATAAATATTTTATTACCAAAATTACATCACACATTGTAGATGAGAAAAACTTCGTTATTCCAGGTACGTATATTAACATACGTACCTGGTTATTCATATAAACTGGAAAATCATACGAAAACAGCTTTTATTGAATAAAGACACATGAATATTTTATTACCAAAATTACATTACAAATTGTAGATAAGTTAAACTTCGTTATTTATATAACTGGCAAATTAAAAGAAAACAGCTTTAATTGAATAAATGACAATAAATATATTATATTACCAAAATTACATTACACATTTTAGAAAAGTTATTTATATAAGTAACATATTTTATTACAAAATTTACATACATAAGCTTAATTGCCGCATTGTTTTGAAATATGCTCACATTGTCAGATAATTAAAGGATTATTTCGGCGTCAATTAAATATTTCTACAATTTTAGGTGATTGGTTTGTTAAAATAAAAGGTCTGACAAATCTTTTAGATATGCGTTCTTTAATCAATTATCGTAAATCAATTTTCGTAATGATCACATGTTTATGCAATATCTTTTTTTAAATATTTGACATATATAAAAATGAATGTTAATGATATTGTGATGTTCTTTGTTCCTTTATTTGCAGCTGTCTGTTCTCCGTAAGAATGTCATCAGTTAAAACTTTTTATGTTCTTCTTATTATTTTTTTTCTTTGCTTTTGTCATGTGACCACAGAATTATTATATTTGTAATTATTGTATGTAACGAGATACTGTAAATGTATAAGTTACCGAAATAAACTATTTCTTCTCTTCTTCTTATATTAATTGACATTTATGTTTATGATTAATCAACATATAATTACTTTCTTGTAAATGTACTCCTGTAATAATGTTGATTTAATAAATTGAAAATCCGCGATGGGGGCTTAAAGTTCATGTTACTTGTATTAATAAACATTATTAAATTATTGTCATTGTCAAATTATTAAAACAAAACGAAAAAGTTTGTTGATAACTAAAAAAATCATTGTTAGATCTATAATCATACTGTGGCGAATCGTTATTTAACTGTGGCGAATCGTTATTACTCTGTGTCGAATCGTTATGTGGCGAATCGTTAGTGTGGCGAATCGTTACTAATTCAACTAGATCTAGGGAAATATGTAGAGATTGTTTACCAATATGGAGTCTGCTGTCAAATGAAATCTCGCTGGACAAGTTTTTTGGAATTCTAGCATCTATTTTTAGCAATG